TCAACCTGAGCATGCCACCTGAATAAAACACTGAACCTCTAAGTCTGTTTCCTTGCTGGTAAAAAAAAAAATTAAAATTAAAAATATAAATAAACAAAATAAAAATCAAAAATAGAAAAATTCAATAAAATACAGCAACGGAGCCTAGGAAGTCCGACTCTCACAGGAGTGCTGTCAGCATTAATCAGTCTACATGTAAACAGTTCACAAAGGATAGGCGTTGTGAGCACTCAACATATTTTCAGTATCGAGGTTTGAAAATCTATCCTGGGGTTAATGGACTGTACACAGAAGTATATGGTATTCATATAGATAGGGAACACACTCGTTCTACAAGAAGCAATTGTGGTTTGCAATAAGATGTAAAAGTGGGCAAGTCAAGGAACACTCAAGGAAATAAGCTATTTACCATTCTTTCAGTGATTTCTCAAAGCAATTTCATTAGTACAACTTCAAAGGAGAGGCCAGGAAATCCAGTTTTGGTCCCATTAGCTGGAGATGTGTGGGTATGCCCTCTCTGGTGAAGTACTCATTCACATTTCAAATTAGGGGAGTTTGCTTATCCCTGTTGTGGTTTAATTATTGCCTAAGTGCTTTCACCCTGCCCTGGACCCCTTCAGAACCACTAAAACCCTCCCACTCTTTCTTCTGAAAGTTGGGATTAGTCACCAGCAAAATCTGATTGACCTGGCCCTCGCCCATGGACACTACTTCCCCTGGAACCTTCTCAGGTAGCAGCCTGTGTCTTTCCCACACATCTTGTATTGCTGGGCCTGAAAACGGGACATGTGACCTCCATGCTCCTTCCTGCTCCTTAAACGCCTCCAGCATTGTATCTCCCGTCAACAGACCGTTCCTCCTTACTGTAATTATCTACCAACTCCTGGGTTACTCCCTTTCATCTCTGGAAGATTTTAGCTCCTAAATATCACACCCTTTGAATGCTAGTTCTATCATAACTGTCTGTTTCAATATCCACACAGATGATTCTCTACTATTTCAAGGCAGGGCTACCACCAGCCTTTACAACATCCTTGTGCGGATAAGAAAAGGCCATATTTCCTCCACGTTGACCCTGCTCCATGACAGGAAGTTGGGCAAAGGAAGGGCTGCTCAATTTCAGTCACTGATGATCACCTCGTCCAGGACACTCTGAAGAGGGCCCACACTACCTAGCCATTCGTAACAGCCTTCAACCTCCCCTCCCTCTTTCTTCTCAGCTCAGACACACCTCCCATAATCCACCCTAACCTCAAATTCAGGGGCTTCCCTGGTGGCTCAGTGGTAAAGAGTCTGCCTGCCAATGCAGGAGATGGGGATTAGATCCCTGAGTTGGGAAGATCCCTTGGAGAAGGAAATGGCAACCCACTCCAGCATTCTTGCCTCGGAAATCCCATGGACAGAGGAGCTTGGCAGGCTACCGTGGGGTAGCAAAGAGTTAGACATGATTTAGCAACTGAACAACAACTACAACCTCAATTTCACATATTCCACTCTTACATCACCTACCCTTCCAACTCATTTCCTCTTGAACACCAAACCAAACAATTCTTCCTCCCTAAGGAGACCTGCACCTCCGCCTTCACGCCATTCCTCACACAAATGTGCCTTTGCTCAACCCCCACAACCAGCTTAAATTCCACAGAGATGGATCTTGATGCTCCATGCCATGCACCCTCAACTCCTGCGTCCCTCCCTGGCCTCATCATTCACTCCTGGCAAAACCCCAGCTCTGGTCCATTTCAACATTGTGTCTACTCTGCACCCACAGAGTGGTCATCAATACGACCAGAAAAAATGCACAAGCATGCTGGCTGTTCTCACATTAAATTCAGGATCAGCAGTCTCAGAACTGTCCTTAATGACGTCAGACCCAAGACAAACATTTTCTATCTTCTCCTTAGATTTACGGAGCTACCTCTCCACCTTCACCTGGGGCTGAAGAACTGATTTCCTATTTCACGGAGAAAAATGGAGCATTAAGAAGTGAACTTGTGCAGCCCCTCCCCATATACTCACCTACCTTCATTTCTATCCAGCAGCCTCATTTTTCCTATTGCTTCCTTACAGCACTAGTCAATACTCCTGAAGAGTGCCAACCTCTTCATCTGCTTCACAGATCTCCTTCCCTCTCATCCAATCAAGTACATGGCAACAGGACACGTTCCTCATCGAAACCTCTTCAACTGCATTTCTTCCCAACAGTACATGATTGTTCTCACATTTATCTCTCATATTCAGAAAATTTTCCTTTCTTCCACTTTCTTTTACAGCCATGTCCCCATTTCACTCCTTCCCTTTATCTCAAAAAACCTTGAAAGAACTGACTGCACTTGGGGTCTCCCAATTTCTGTTCTCCCATTCTCTTGAACACACTCCATTCATGCTTGTGGTCTCACTGTATGATAAAAACAGTCATCGTCAATAACCTCACAAAACTAAATCCAATGTTTTTCCCTCGGCCTTCATTGTAAGTTGACACAGAGAGAGCAATTGACATGTTTGAGTTACATCCTCCCCAGACCCACTTTCTTCATTTTGTTTTCAGAACAGACAACATAAGTTGTCTGTCCACTTATCCTCTGTCTCATTTGCTGGTTCCTATAATCTCTCCAACCTCTTAAATTTCAAGTACTCTAAGCTCAGTCTTTGAGCCTCTCCTCTTTTCTATGTGCCTTCAATTTCTTGGTGATTTCATCCAGTTTCTTATCTTTAAAGCTCATCTATAAACTGACCACTTTCAAGTGTGTATTTCCAGCAAAGTCTTTCCCATTAATCTAAGACAGATAAGTCCAGTTATTTCACATATTCACTTGGATGCAGAAAATTAATATCATGTTTAATATGCCCTACATTGAGCTCCTCTGTCACCATCCCCCACCCCAAACGCTCTTGCAGGTATTCCATTTAAGTTAAATAGTTCTACTTGCTGACACTCAAAACTCTGAAGTCATCTCCAACTCCTTTCTTTATCTCATAACTACCCTAATTTCAGCAGTTCCTATTAGGTCTACCCTAGAATTCAATTACTTTCCATCACTTTCATTGCTACTCCTGTTATTTGAACTCCATCATCTCTTATCTAGATTACACCAATAGCTTTCTAACTCATCTCCCCCTTTTTGTCCTTGTTCTCTTATATATGGTTTTTTTGTACTTAGTGATCCTACTAAGGCCTGAGATCATTGTCCTTCTAGCTCAAAACCCTGCAGCGGCTTAACATCTCACTCAAAACAAAGTTCGGTGTCATGGTACTCCATAACTTCCTTGAAACTGTATCTTACTATCTTCTCCCTTGCTCACTCTGGACTCCAACCACACTGACCTAATGTTTCTGGAACATTCCAGGCACTCTCCTGTTTTAAGGCCTTTATAATTGCTGCTTCTTCTGTCTAGAACTCTCATCAAATGCCTGCTCCCTCACTCCCATGGGTCTTTTCTCAGATGTACCTCTCTCTTGTTCTTATCTCCTTATTTAATTGATTTTGCCCCATAACACTTGACAGCACTAAATAAGCTGTAAATTTCACATATTTATCTTGCTTATTGTCTCTCTCTCTACCAATATAAAATCCAAGAGAGGTCTTTTTCTGTTCTTCTTTTTAACTGCAACAACTATAATGTTGAGAACAGTACTCGGCACATAGCAGACACTCAATATATATGTTGATGTACATTAACCGAAAGGAGGTGGAGAGAGAGGAAGGATGCAAGTGTTCATGCAAGCATGCAGTACAGCAAGAGAACCCAATAAGATTCCCATTCAGCCACTGAAGGAGAAGGATGTGCCCCATTCACTAGCCCTTCCAGAAATCCAGAAATTGTCATGCATCTCTGCTCTGTTCTCTTTGTATACACAAGGACCTGCCAAAGTTCACAGCACTACCATAATAGTGGTGGGGGGTTTAGTTAAGTTTTCAAAAGGTACAGGAGGAATAAGGACACCAAATTAAATGAAAGTTGGTTTAAAAAAAAAGTCTACAAAGCTGATTTCAGCCATTTTACTAAGACAAGAATCTGTGTTTCCTATAATAATTCAGCACCTTGGCTACAGGTCAGATGGCTCTGGAGCAAAATCAGCCTCTAGGGGACTATCAGAAAGACACCAGTTTAAAGGGCAGGAGTGGCTAGTCAGAATACAAAGGGACTCCTACGACCATTAATAAAATGAATGGCTTTGGGCTATTACTGAAATAAGTTGTTTCTGCAAGGATCCTTTAAGGTTTGTTTATTTAATGGTAATTTACTGATTTCTATGAGTCCACCAACACAGACATTAATGACACAGTCTTCCTCTCAAATCACGATCTGGGTCCACTTGGGGGACCAGTGAGTTAGGTTAAAAAAATAGAAAAGAACAGCAGTTTTTGTGGAGCAAAGGTTTGCCAAAACTGCAGTACAGAAATTACATACACCAACAGATCATAATGCAAATGTCTTGAGAAAGTTAAAAATGAATCCACATGGACAGAATTCAAGTGGAAAATGCCCCCTTAGAATTCCAGAAGGGTTGTTCACTTTTCAAAAGCATTTCATAAGAATATAACTCATTTGGTCCCTGTTTCACTGTGAGGAATGTTAACATTAAGCTTAATTTATTAAAGACAAACCTAGGAACAAAGTTCCTATAAAATTACTTGGGTTCACAGAAAAAATCAGCACAATCAGAAACCAAACATCAGCCGTCTCAAGCCTCACATAAGGATTAAACCACAGCAAACCTCAGTAAGCCTCTCACCTTGCACAAGAAATACAATGATAACACTCAAGAGTACTATGCAGGGCAATCCATACTGTTAAAGAGCAAAATAAAACAAAAAGCAAACAACTGGATACTTTTCTTAGGTGCTAACCTTTAGAATCAGAATTGTTTAATGATAAACGGTGGCAAAAACTTAAAATTGTATCAATAATGGTAGGGAATTCAATTAGCAAGTTATTGGAACTCTACATAACCTTTCAGAGAACAGGATTTCTATCTTGAAATCTGCCACACTTACCTCCATTTCCTTCCCCACTGGCATTGGCCTCCGCCATCTCTGAGCCATCCAATTCAGACTCACAGCCTAAATCCAAAGTTCCATCGGCTGAGCATGATGACTCCTCTTTCTATATTATTTTAAAAATAATGATTTATGGAGATGTATCAGCAACGGAAAACACTCAAAATACTTCCAGAGCCCTAAGGAATTATCAAAGTTACTTGTGATTTTAAATTGCAATACTGATTTATTTTTTAATTTAAAACCACTCCTTGGAGGGGGGTGGGTTACTGGGAAAAGCACACTGCCATAGTTAATTTTGGGGGGAGATAACCTTTAAAATCTACACAAAAGACTAAGTTTCTTTTTGCCATATGTTGTTTCTGTTCTTCTCAATTCTACCGTCTTCATTTTGGAAAATGGCTTTACAACTTGGATGTAATCATAAATTAACCCCCAAGTAGCTACAAAAAATAATAAATAATACAAGTCTTTTGATTAACTTGTATTATTTTCTGAAACACACACATAGAACAAGAGCCTGATGCTTAAGAGCTGAGAAAGAATCCCCAATTTTGCCAGGTATAACTTTTAACATTAAAAATAAAACAGAAGAAACTTCTCAAAGGAAATTAATGAATTTTAAACGTAACTCATCATTTACTAAAGCTGATACTTTTTTTAATTTGCAAGAAAATACACTGATTTTGCATGTTCTAAGTTATGCAGCCATTTGTATCAGCTTTTGTCCTCTGGAATTTGGCATCTTACGTGGCATTTCCATTCCAGATGTAAATGGAAATTACACTAAAACCATTAAGACTTGGTTATCTGAAGCTTTTAATTTCTCTGTTCTCATACAAGTAAAAGCTTTTATTAGTAAAAACTTCCTTGAGATCACTGTTTCTTTCAAATTTGAATAACATTTAAAACAGCAAATTTTCAAGAGGAATGGATACATTTCTTATTTTTACAAAAGACAGACATACAGGTGTGAAGCCGGTATATCAATGTGTAATCATCAAATCAAATAGTTTTTTTTGGCCACTGTGATCATCTTAAAACTTTTGGCTGATGAACCATGGCACTCCTCCATGTAAATTTTTAAGAACCAAGAATTTCAAGGAAGCCACAACCATTTTCCATTACTATATGTTAGAGTGAAACCACAGATATGCTTTCTTTAAAGAAAAATGTCATTGTTTATTCTTAATACAAAATCATTTTTAAGACATCTGAAAACATTTAAAAGGCAAAGGGGTCATTCTACCCCTCACCCAAATCTAATTTTGTTTACCTTCACATGTCTGAATAAAGGCATGATACATAGTAATAACAGACATAATATGCAGAACAGTCCAACTTACTTTGAGAGCATAGAGGCCTGACTTCCCAGGGATTTTGAAGAATGTTCCATCCCCGATTCGCGTGTTAGTGTGAAGCATTGCATTCAGACAGGCTAATGGAGAAGTTCCACTAGAAAATAAAAGTGTGCAAAAAATGAAGCAGTCTGAGATGCAGTTTCTGGGGCAAAACCGTTCTCAGTCTCTTAGGGAAAAAAAAAAAAAGACCCTCTTGCATGCCTTTTTAAAATATCCTCCCAACCCCGAAAACATCTACATTACAATAACAGGCCAGTCCAGTTTTGCCAAAGTTAATCAGATGCATCTGTCTTATAGGCTTCAGGCAAAAAGTCTCCTGAATTGAAATTATGCTTTTATTCATAAAGCAACCAACACTGTATTTCAAAGAAACCAAAGCCCAAACATTTATGTGGTGTTATTTTGCAAATAATACCATGAAGCCTCAGGTTTTAAATATTACAGACAACTTGATGGTTGCACTTGAATGATCAAATAAACCAAGTTCAAGGACAGCTCCATCCTATAGGTTGAAAAGCAACAAAAGAATAATAAGAAACCAGGGAAGAACTGATTTAAAATTACAAGTATTTAAGTTACTCATGGGATTGCACTTCTCACAAGGCCAGATAAAAATCTATATCTGTGCTTCTTCAGTGACATTCTTTCCTTAGCTCTTTATTTGTCAAATAAAATATGTGTTTGGGAATCCTACCCAGCTAATGATGATGTTCTGCAGTAAAGAAGTGACTGAACTATGAAAACAGATTTTTTTTTAAAAGAAACAAAACAATAAAAAATGAATAAAAAAAAAAAAAAAAAAAGCAAAAAAAACAATGAAAAGGAATCAGAAAAATAAAAAAAAGGTTAAGAAAAGGAAAAAAAAAAAAAAATTTCCGGGGGAAACTTAAAAACTCCTTTGGGGTTTGGTTTGTAAACTGTTATTTCTGTATATCCGAATTTAGAGGTAGAACGGTTACTTGCATTTACTTATGTTTCCATATATACTTTACTTCCTAATATGCTATAAGATCAATATTTGGTTGAATCAATACAGATTAGAAACCCTACTCCCCATCTCATTCACCTAGTTAGGGTTCTGGATATATAATCCAAGATATCCTTGGACAAGAGAACCTTTAGGATATCAAGGTTTCAAAGTTTGAATTTCTGTGATAGAAACATATTTTTACGTGACTAAACTAAAAGTGTTCTAAAAACCAAGACTGTCCCATCTCTTACTTACTACGAATACTCATTAATAAAATGAAAAAAGCCAAATTTGCTGAGTTGCCACAACACACTTAATAGCCAGTCAGCATATATATACATCATGGTCATAAAGGTTTATAAGTATGCTAATAAGAACACTTTATTATTTTAGGAAACAGTTTCTCTATGCCAACACATCAGTATGATTCCATCTGGTCTGACAGGAAGCAAGAGCCCTAGTATAAACCTGGTCATAGAACAGCACAGAACAGCGAGGTACACACGGGAACAACGCTGGGAGTTTATGCAATAAGCTTTCCTCTCGAAGCTTCTACAAGCCTACGGACCTCATTTCATTATTTTTCCTCACAAAAGATGTTCTGTGCATATGTAAAGTGGGCCAAGCCTTCCTTATAAAGTAAAATACATTCATCTCCCAGAAATAGCTGTCCATGAATAAATTTCAGATAAACAAGGCTATACATGTTATACTGAACACTGTAAAATATATATTTTTATCATTATTCTCATCAGAAAAAGCACAGACAATTTGAAGCTGGGAATTATTATACCAGATTTGTGGAGCTTTAATTTGGCGAAACTGTCAGAAACACAGATTTTTCTGTAGGGACCTGGCAAGAAAATGCTAGCACTACAAGTAAAATAGAACCCTATACATATAAATGAAACAATGTAGCTGGTTTTAAAATATAAAACTTAATAATACTAATCGTGCACCTTTCAAACCTCACCCACATTCTTCCTGTTCTTCTTTGCTAAGGTCCTAATACACACAATTTCAAGAACTCAGATTTAGCATTTTAGAGAATACAGATTTAAAGACAACTAAAAGATACTGAACAGACATAATTTAATATCACTATAATTTACATATTCTTTCTAAGGTACAGTAAACCAAAGATAATTGTGGAAGACAAACTGACTAATAAATAGCAGTTTAATGCTATGCCTGCTTCAAATATAAGTGATAATACCCAGTTTCATATAAATAATAAGTTCTGTTGAATATGAATATATTATTAAATTATATTGTTTAATAACTCAATAAATTCAAGATTTACTGTGGAAATATGTTAACAACATATAATTTACAATCACATTACACAGATATCCAAAAGTCTCAAAGACTACTGTAATTTTCCCCAAAACAAACAGGAAATCTGCTTTATTTTAAAGCTATACATTTGCATTTCAGAAGAATTAAAAATATTTTGCAATCAAATGTAAACTTTACTACTCAGGCTGATTAGTCACTTAGTTTTAAACATATCAATTGCATTTCTTCATAGAAAAAAATCAAATTAAATGGCCCATTCATTTAAAAACTTCAAAACTTTAGCACTGAAAGATGAAGTACTTACTGGGAAGTAACTTTCACCCACTGCATATACATAGGAAAGTGAATTTTAAAAATCTTTCATACCCTTTACTTATTGCTATCATCTTCAACATTTCCACAGAGTCTAGAAATTATGGACTGCTTTCCCTGAAAAAGGGAATGTCCTAAGTAACTGCCATTGAACAAGAACAAATAAAAGTCTCACTGATGTATTTCTATTATTTTAATATTCAGAAAAAAAAAGATTCAACAAGTATACCTAGGCCAGCTTTAAGAAATATATAAATATATATTTATATATCTGTATATATTAAAAAAACACAATGTCTTATTGTGGGTATGAAAAAAGATGAGGCAAATATGTGTTAAAAGTCTGTATTCTTAGAGAGCATAGACATCTTCTATGTAATATTCCTTATTTTTAAATTAAAAATACTTGCTCACAATGTGAGTTAATTGCCTAAGTCACAATCTAAAAGCAAAAATCCTGGAATAGACTATGTGTCTGTGTATATTGTATATGAAATAATAACACATCAACATTTTAATTCAAAAATCTCTAAAATTTCAAAAGTTACTTACTTTCTAAAAGGATGAATTGGAAGAATTGCGATATCCCAATTTATAAAAAGAGAAAACAAAGAAAAAAGGGAAAAAAAGTTAGTTTTCCAGCTTAAAATGCAATTCTACGTCTCACTATTTCAATAAATAAGACAGCATACAAGAAACACACCAAACTCTTAGATTTGGCTGTAAACTCTGGAGGACTGGAGTAAAAGGTAAATTCCACTTTCTTCCCTACACTTCCACAATGTTTTCATTTTCTCCACAATGCTCATATATTGACAGCTCCATATTGGGAATATAATCAGAAATAAACCATCAGGACACTATTTGCCCCCACTTTCTTTCTGCCGTGCCCTGTAACCGGGCCTTCCCTATACACCTGCCAGGGTAGATATACAGCTTCTTCTATTTGTTTGTCTTCCTCCCTAGGCTGTAGGGCTGTGGAACCCTTCTGGCTTGTTTTCATTTCCCACAACCCCTGAAGCAGAACGGGGTGAAATTTGGAGGCAGGGGAGCAGGCATAATTTAAACTGTCTAGACATCAAAGAACCCCCAGAGATGCTTTGCAGAGCCCCAGTGCTGTGTGAACTACAGAAAAACCGTTGCTTTATCACATCAAATTGTTGACAGAACATATAAAATTTTACTAATAGTGCACACTTGGTGAAGAGAATGGATGACCTGTCGATTTTAATAATTTTAAAAATCAGAGAAAATACCTAGGGAATGCAATTGGAAGGATATTTAGATACGACAAAAAAAACATCATTCCTTTCCACAGAAAATTAATAATGCTTTACAAGGCAATAATTAAGTAATCCAAATCTTAAGCTACTTTATTTGCTAAGCATCTCTTCATAAAAATTTCAGATGAAGCTATTTCCTAAAACATTTTTAAATCTTGCTTTGTAACTTGGGGAACATCAAAAAAAGTAATCCTAAACAATGTTAAGTCTAAAAATTCAACAGATTTAAGGAGTGATTATTAAGCAGCATTATTCATCAGTTATTGTGCTAAGTCCTGCTGATACAAATTAACTGAACCAATTTTATATTCATTCTTTAAAATAAATTAATAATGCTTCCAGTATTTTCAGTGTTGAGAGCCAAGAGAAAATATCTTAATTTTAAAGAATATATTTTTAAGAGGAAGTTATGTGGACCTCTTAGATGGAAGTAATGTTTCAGTTCTTTATACAGAATATTAGTGTTCATTATGTGAAAATTGTTTACTTAGGATTTGGTCATTTCATTTTATATATGTTATACTTCCCAAAAATGTTTTTTAAAATATTGAAAAACAAGTAATGCACCCTTGGCTTTATGCATGTGTTTACATATTCAATGGGCAAGTCACTACTAGTAAAGAAGAAAAGGTTATTTCTACCATGGAATGTGGAAAAGTCCTAACCACACATACACGCAGTTTATACCAGTTGATAAATCAGTAACCTAGATGATTAAAAACTATCCTAGAAAGTCAAGGCCAAACGAACTTCTTTTTATTTTTTTGAAAGGCAAATATATTAAGCATTTATTGAGTACATCATTATTTTTTTACTCAATTTATTTATTTTAATTGGAGGCTAATTACTTTATAATATTGTAGTGGTTTTTGCCATACATTGACATGAATCAGCCATGGGTATACATGCAAACTAACTTCTTACTCTGAGAAACAATACTGTTAGTCTGGAACCCTTGAAAATAATGGGAAAAAAAACTTGAAAGTTAGAGTCCTATATACATATACATTATCTGAAGAAGCTCAGCATACAGAATATTAGACCAAAAAAGGACCTACAGAAAGTCTGAAATATGATTTGGATGACGAGGACAGTATCTCAAATTTCATAGTACCTCTTTGATCACTAGTGAAAGTTTTTTAATGGGCACTGACATGATAAATAACAAAGATTAAAGTTATAAAATATAAGTTTGATTCCAAGTTTTGCAGGTGTAACTGAGACTGCGGT